TCCGACGACTTCGCGGCTCGTTAATAAAATCAATTATAACCAAAGGAGACAAAAAAATTAGCGAAGTCGTTTGAGGATGTCCACGAGAATTTTAGATTAACGAATCCGATATCGAACTTGTTGGTTTCTGGACTACTACTGCTCATTACTCTTAACTTGCTATTCCCTTCTCAAAGGGAAATTTAGATTTGTTCATATTTTCGAGTGCTGTTTTATCGGAGAAAAGCCCAAGCGAAAGGATGATTAATACCAATGTTTACTTAAAAAATATCATATTTCTACGATATGAAGACAAATACAAGAGTTTGTAAGATAAATCAATGATTGTACGATTCTTGTTACCAAAAGTATTTTCTAAATGCGTAATCTCTTAAACTCTGAAGAAATATAGCGAAGATAACATAAGAGAGAAAATATACGTTTCTTGAACGTCACCTCTTTCGAAGGACACATCGTTAACTCTTAACTTCCCACTCTACGGCTCCTGTTTTCGATTCTTTCCTTATCTCAATGCAGGTAGAAGTTCAAAAAAGAAAACACCCTTATTTCCCACCCCAGCCCACATTCGCGAAAGTAGAACAGGCTCGATGGTTCGATTGCATTCGGATGAAATCGTCTGCAATCGGACGACGGAGAAGATTCGAAATAAATTGGAAATGTCCCGCGGCTCTTCTGATTTTTATTTTAGTGTACAAAAGTCGTATAAAACAGTCCGGATGAGGGAAGATGGAGGATAAAGGCCCGATTGTATACGAAAGTACTAACTTTGTGTGTCGCAGCAATGAATTTCGAATTTTCTAAAGAACCCGATCGCGTTGTACGAAATACAGTAATCAGATATCGCGCGATTGCCACAGCCGCGTTTCGATAACGAATTTTTACGACGATTGCGATCGTAATCACTCTGAGAATGTCAATTCCGGGAAGAGAATTCGATCCCATTCGGCGTCTCCGACGCAAGGAAACGTGCGCACGATATCGTTCCGCAGATTTCTTTTCTTTGTGTTTGACAGTTTTACATCTTGCAGAGGAAAGATACAATCTTTCCTCTAAATATAACGTTTTCTTGAAAACAGTCGCTCTCTGGTGTCAATAAAAATAATACCGTGGAACAGCGCAAAGCCACGTTAACGACAAATACGTGAGAAATTTTTATATAATTCGCTCGAGGAAATGTTTTATTGAAAATATTATTTCGATAGAAATGTTTTAATATTTTTAACTTGTCTCTTTATTTTTATTCTCACGTTTCGTTCCGCCGAACCAAAGACTTAGCAGAATTTTCCTCGGCGGAGATACGGATCAGTGGAAATGGCTCGCATTTTCATTATTTCAACGACATTGCGCCAATTCGACTAACGAAAGCATACGTGTCTAATTATGGTATAAACGCGCGTCCCACTTTCGCAAGCGTATTGCTCCACAGAGAGAGAGAGAGAGAGAGAGAGAGGGGGGGGAGGCAACGTTTTCATTAAATAGATTACTTTTCAACACGAAATTTTCCACGTATGTATGTATGAGAAAAGGCGAAATTGCCTATCGCGCGAGCGCAATGGTCTGTCACAGTAAAGAGAAAACATGGGGAATCTAATTGCAAATAATTAGTACCACACGGGACACTCCGGTGGCACTTTCGGAGGAGCCTTGAAAATATTTCGAGATTTCAAGCTGAACAATCGGAACGCTGCTAACACCGGCGATGGTTCTCTCGCAATTCTTTCTCGAGATAGCGAGACACACTTTCGGAGATCCTTTGGCGTGTAACCGCAATCGTTGAAAACCACTCATCTTTTAACTCGTAATGCCACCGACATGGTTCGGTTTGGTCTCGGGGAATTACGAAGGTGGATAATTAAATATTTCCACGCGACGACGAGAGCTATAAACAGCGGCGATGTAACGAGGTAATTACGCCCATGGTTGGTCCATCGCGGTTATCAGGTTTACGGTGGCAGTATCTCCGAGATCTCCAGTCGCGGGATTCTCCTTCCGAATGCGAGGAAACTCGTCGTCGGTTTAATTATACAACTCCACATTAAACTGTTTCAATTACCGAAAGGCCGAATATTCTGGCGGCACCGACAGGATTAAGAGCCGTGTGCTTCCGATTCTCGGAGGTAGCAAAACTGCGCTGCAATTTTTGTAATTTTCGTCGACTGCGTTTTTCGGAACATATTATATATTCTCTGTTATTACGTCTCGCTTCTCGTATTTATTCAACAAACCCACCACCGCATTGTATACAGTAAGAAACATCTTACACACTAATAGGATTTTAAGATGAAAGAAAGAAAGAAACATTTCCCTTCGGAAATCTCTTACGGAAATTATTTCGAATATTATGACTCACATGTGCTCGAGAGTGCATAAAATATGCATTAGGCGCTTGAGAGTTTAAGCTTCACGGAAACCAACGCGAATTTGTAATGTAGAACGCGGACGGATACGAGACCGACTTGCAGTTCTTGTACGGCACGTTACCGCTGTTGCATCCCGCATCCCGCATCCTGCACTCCGCATACATTTGCATTGGATTTTTAAACGTTAGCATGTTTAATCGGATCGAGATAATCGCGCAGTTTAAGTACAATCGTCCGAATTTGCCTATCGCATCTGCGGCCGTTTATTTGCGTGAATGTCCGGGCTCGACATTCCCGCTTGGAAATTTCACGTGCGATTTCTTCGATTTTACCAACGATACGTGGCCTCCGCGGGTGCACACGAGGCGCTTCTTTTTCGACCTGAGGCGAGAGAGACGAACTATTATTCGGCGCACAATACGCCCGACGAGGCTACACTCGTTATCGGTAACGAGCTGCCTTCGGCTTGCCGACATCGAGGAAATCGCTGGCGTGCCTCTTCCTCGATGTCTTTTATCAGAGCCACTTTCGAGAGTTTCTCGGAGTTTGCTCGTGGAATCGGCACCCAAAGCGAAATCACAGTTTGGATTTTCAGAGAGGAGCGACGTTTCGCAGTCGAAAAGTGTGGTTACCATTTAAAATTTATTTAGGCAGTTCGCTTTTCGATATCATGTTAATATAATACAATTTTCACAAATTATATTTGCCTTTTTGCATATAAA